AATAGAAAGATATAATACAAGTTAAAGAAGAGCGGGTTCTCAAGGACTAACTAATCAAGAGAGGGAAAGGAGAAGAGCTAGGAAACATGACAATGTCAAGCCATACAGTTATTTGTAAAAGATGAGCAAGGCAATGATCCTGAGAATATTCAGAAGATTTTTGAATCTAGCAGTTAATTGGAAAGATTCTCACCCTGACTAACTATATATACTGATACCTATGAACTAAGCTACTGCACTGCAGATAGTAATTTGTAACAGTAGTTTCATATTTGGAGTGCCTGTCATTCTGGTAGTCTGAATATGGGCGGCTTGTCATGACATGCCAGTTACTGCTATGATGTCTCTCGGGTAGGTGGATGTTCAAAAAGAAGGGGATGGTGAATGAAAGCAAGAGACAGGAAAAGAAATATTGTGGGACTGTCCTGCTTCAAGGTTGTATATGGTGAGATTTTTGGACTTATGTGCAAACATGAGAAGTATAGAATTCTTTATCCTATTTTTAAAATATAATCTAATTTTTAAATGTTTTTTATCATATTATGCAGGGATTTAAAGTTCAACATATCAATACTTGATGAAAAATACCTGCTCCTTATTATGCCTAAGATGTTTAAAATGCAGTGAGATAGTGAGGTTAAGCTTGATAGCCTAAATCGTTTGATAATAACAATAAGCTTGTCTTCTAGATGGTTAACAACCTAAGTTTGCAGAACAAAATTAGAGAAAAAGGAGGGCTACAAGGAAAGCCAACATTTTGGCCCTAAACTTCTAAGGTCAATTAAGACTCAGGACATATGAGAACTTGTACTGTAACGTCATGTACCTCGGTAGTGTCCCAAATTTTCTGATCAAGAAGATTATGGGGCCAAAGACGAAAGTGATTGATGACGTAGAGTGTGCCTAAGGAGAGTCACATGGGGAGAAAACACTCTCTCAGGCTTTCACAGAGAGCACATTGGTCAAGCAATGGCTGTGACTCATCCACATGGCTGACACTGACAAAGGTTCTACAATCTGAGGTACAGGATCTCAGGATAAATCCTGAGGGGATTTCACTGACCTTCTCAGACCAAAAAGCTACAACTCTTGTTGCATAGGTCCTGCTTTACCTTGGTCTTAACCATCCAGTAGAAAAGTATGAAGACGAAATATAGGAAATAAAGCCATGCTGTTATGTTGAGCTGTAGGGGACTCAGGTCAATAATTTCTGACATTGCCAGTTAAACAGAATACCCAATGCTATTATGGGCTACTGGACTCTTTTTGAATATTTTGCTGAGTTTACACACCTATAATATTTAAATGACTGAACAAAAAAAGGGGATACAGATGAATGACCATTTTGTATCTGTGTATTCAAAATGGTTAGTATAGATGTATAGTTACATTCTCTTAATGAATAGAGGGATTTGTTCTAATGGTGTTTGTAAATAGGATATCATGTCTGCATCTTGTACAGCAAATAATCACTAGGAAGAGAATATGCAATGTGTTAATTATTGAAACTATCATACCAATTTGTTTTGAAACTGTCTCATTGCTATATGTCTCACAATAAAATTATGGAAAAATATATATTGCTGATCTTCATGAAAAATGAATGCAGTTTTTAAAAAAAAAAAACTACAAATGAATTTTTTGTAAGCTACTAAGAGAAAAAAAACCAACTATATGAGACAATGAAAGGAAAAGATCACTCAAAAAGTTGGATTTTTCTTCTGCCTAATCAATCTTTCATGTCCTAACTCTTAAAGTAATATTAGTACAATTTAGCAAATTCATTTAGTCTCCGGATTTTTGCCAAACAACACGCTAGGAACTAAAAGTAGAAAGATGAGTAAGCTACCAACCTTGAACCCACAGAGCATACAATCTAGTTTAAAATACGTGACATTTGACATGCCAGGTAGATGAAAAACTGCTACACGGGCACAGAAGTAGTGATGGACTCTGACATGGAGGACTGCACAAGGATGGTGATAATTAATCTGAATCTTAAAAAGATGAATTTTAAAACACATAGAGCATCTTCTAGGCCAAAAGGAACCAGCATGATGTCACGTGAAAATGAGGTGGATGGCATGAGTAAGAAGCAGCTCTGTATCTACAGAACATGCATAACTGAAGAGAATGGGTTTAAAGACACATTCTACCTGCATAACAGGCTGAGCAGAGGTGGAGGGCAGTGTGCCTGTGTGGGAGAGCAGCTGCTCGAAGCCAACTTAGTTATTGGGCAGGTACAGGGGACAGAGTCACCACAACGCCTCATTTGTCCTGAACAGCTGGTACAAAACAAAAGCATGATCTTGGTGCAACAACATAGGTTTGGAGGCCAAATTCAACCTGCAGCTGCCAAGTTCTAAGCCTGATTTTCAGGCTGCACCACTAAAAACAACAGGAAGTCCATGGTCAGACCACCCTGAATGCACCATATCTTGTCTAAAAACATCAGGAAATACTGAACTTGAACCTGCAATAGTGATTTAAGACCTGACTGCAAAGGGATTTAAATGTAAGAAGGAGAATATATCCTGTCAGCAGTCAAACCCAGTTAATGTTTCTTAGCAGATAAACGGCATGTCTGGTCTGTTTTAAAATGAATTCTAGAGGAAGGGTGTGAAACAGGAGTTGGCATAGTTTCTTTGTAAATAGTGACACAGAAAATATTTTAGGCTTTGCAGGCCAAATGGGCTCTGTTACAACTACTCAACTCTGCTGTTGTAGCACAAAAGAAGCCACAGACAATACATAAATAAATGAGCGCAGCTGTGTTTCAAAAAAAACTTTATTTACAAAAACAGGTGGAAAGCTGGAAGTGGCCCAAAGTCCATAGTCTGTTGATCTGTGGTATGAAAAATAGACTGAAGTATGTTTAAACAGGGTGAATGGACAAAAACAACTATTACTATTTGTTACAGCAAAAAAAGGTTTTTGTTTTGTATTGTTTTCTTGAAAAGAAATTTTTTTGGGTACTTATAGACTGACAGTTTAGTACTATGCATCTGCTGTGTAGACAAGACAAATATGTGCTTGTTGGGCTAAGAACTGCGCTGCCATTTTAAAATAACAGTAGCCAAAAGGCTTTACAATGGTTTCAACTGCTGCTGTAAATTTTCTGTATGTATTTGAAACAAGCATTTTTAGGATTCAAGGGAGGGCCCAAATCTAAAAGCAAAAAAGGCGAAGTTAGAGTACTATAAGCTAAATAAAGCCAACAATAAAGGCCACCAGGGGATGGTAAGATAGCTCAGTGGTCTAAAGCCCCTGCTTAGGCAAGGTTACACAAAGCACAGGGACTATAGTTTGATCCCTGGCACCACATGCTGCACCAGGGTGGGCTGAGCCAGCCACAAAAAAATAAATAAATAAAATAAACAAATAATAAAAATACATAAATTAAAAAAAATTAAAAGACCACCAAAAGACCTTATTCTAACCAATTCCTAACCCAAGTAAAAGCAAAAGTCAAGACACAAGGTTGAGGGGCTCAAGGAGGTACCTGTAAGGAGGGACTGGCAGGTACAACAAATGCTATAGGGAGGATGTCAATAACAACCAAAATGGCAACTACAAATATGTAGAGGTTAGCTGAGGCGTGTGCCTTTCCCCCATGAATCTGCTTCCATAGCCTCTATTCCAGAGGAAACAGGCCTAGAAAAGGCACTGGAGGCCAGGCACTTTAAAACTGAACACTCCATGGTTTGGAGTGGAAAAAGCCTTCCACATTTCATGAAAGGACTGGCTCCCAATGGCGTGAGGAAGGTCTTCGCATCATATGAGACTAGAGTTTTGAACTGGGCACGCGGCACTTTTTATTACTAATACTGGAACTATAGTATCTAACATGCCTGAGCCCAACAGAGGGAAAACTGTACAGCTGAAAATGGACAAACTAAGTTTTTACCTCACCAAATTCAGACTTTTCAATAAATAGCTATATATTTACACAATGACAGAATGCATTGTGTGCATGAGAGATACGGATTTATCTTCATAGAAGTGATGATTATAGTAATGGAATACTGAGAGAGAGAGAGAGAGAGAGAGAGAGAGAGAGAGAGAGAGAGAGAGAGAGAGAGAGAGATCCAAGAAAAAGAATACAGTTGAATAAATTATGATATAACCATACATAAAACAGCTATGCAAAGGATACTTTGTAAGAATTTTAATGACATAGGAAAGTGCTTAAGATAGTGTTCAATGAAAAAAATCCAAAATAATATGTAATTACAATCCAGTTTTTAAAAAATTCACATATAAAGAGCAAAAATGGAAAATACAGAAATGTCAACAATCACAGGAATTTTGAATAATTTTCCTATACTGTTCAATATTCCTATTCTTTCTTATGCTATTCAATATTTTTCAAATATTTTCATTATGTGCATTTATCTCATGGCATTTAAAAGTATAAGCTGGAAATATCATTCGTGCTTACCTAGTATGCATGATTTCTTTTTTTTTTTTCATAATTTTATTGATAAACAAATGGCAATGAGATAGTTTCAAACCAAATCACCAGGACAGTTTCAATAATTAACACACTGCATACATTCTTCTTAGTGGTAAAAATCATTAAGCTAAGTGTGTTTTTATTCATTTATTTTTGGTGGAACCAGGGTTTGAACTCATACCCTTGTGCTTGCCAGGGAAGCATTTATTCCACTGAGCCATCTCCCCAGCCATTCATGATTTCTTGAATTTAATCCTCAGCACTATACACACACACAAAATTAAAATTATAAAGCCAGCCCTTTCAAGATGCTAAAAATTATGTCTTTCTTAGCTGCTTAGAATCTGTAGTTGCTGAAACAAAATACCCAACATCTAAAGTTAAAATAATGTATAATTTCTTTCCCCCCCTTTTTTTTTCTGTACCAGGGATCAAACTTGGGACCTTATGCTTGCCAGGCAGGCACCAGGTGTTTACACCACTGAGCTATATCCCCAGCTCTGACACCTAAACTTAAAGGAGAAAAGGTTTATTAGCTCAGTTTATGGAGGTTTCAGCTGTAATCAGCTGGCTCCAAGGCAGAGTGGCATGGCACAGGAGCAACAGTTTCAGATGGCAAACACAACAGATGCAAAACCAACAAGAGCAAAATAGGGAGACCAAGGCTCTTTTCTTCCCTTACACTGCACACAGGCTACCCAACCTAGGGCAGATGTAGCACTCACACCATCTCCATGCCCTCCTCTTGCACAGGCTCAGAATGTTTAGAAAATGTGGGCCCTGGCCCCCTACTGAATCACTTACACTTCTAAACTAAAGTCATACTTTTTTCTTCATAGAGAAAAAAAAGCAAAACAAGACATTTTTACAGTTGGCACTAAAGGATGAACTCAAGCAACTACCCAATCACTACCATGGTTGGTAACATGCTAATTATATTGTCACATGTTAAGATATTGTTTACATTTTTTAAATTGAAAGGTAGTACAATTGAGCCAGGAAGGTACAGAGTTTCATGAATTGTAACTCATGCATACACATAAGTAACAACCCTTCTAACACAGGATTATATAACCCAGAAAACTCATCTGACCGCTCCCTGGCAAACATGCCACCCATCCTCCCCAGTCCTTAGAGCATTTTATGTCCAAAAATGTCATAAACTAATCCCAACTACTAGGGAGATGGAGGTAAGAAAGACTGCAAGCTGAAGGCCAGTCATAGCAAGACCTCATCTCATGATAAAATAGAAAAGGCCTTGAGATCTAGCTCAGTGATAGAGCTCCCTGGATTCAATCCCTATCACCACCACCAAAAAAACCCATCAGTACAAATAGAACAACAGTATATAACCCATTAAACAATGCCTCCCCACTTCTTCTTCCTACCATGTCACTGACATTCTACTTTGTCTCTATTAATTTCATCCCTCTGGAACTTCATACAAGTAGAATCATGCCATATCTATCCCTTAGAACTGGCTTAATTCACATAAAATGATGTCTTCAAGGTTCAAACATGTTGTAGCATGTGGCAGAATTTCCTTTTTAGTTCATTTTGCAAGTTTCACATCTGTAGGATACAAGTCCAGAGTAGAATCGCTGGAAATCATAAATGCACAATTAGTTTATAGGCTACTACCATACTGTTTTCCAGAGTGGCTGTACTATTTCACATTTCCAAATGTATGCATGTTCAAGTCTCACCACAATATGGCCAATATTTCTTCAGGTATGATACTTTCTCTTCTCCTTGTAGGGGTTCTAATGATATGAAAGTTAGATCTTTTATTATTGTTCCATGGGCTCTCCCAATTTTTTCAGTCTTATCTATTTTTTCATATTGAATAATTTCTTTAATCTTTTTTAAAGTTGTCTTTTCTCTGTCTTCTCAATTAATGTCACAAACAATTTGGTGTGGCCAATTCCCTAACTTGCTCCCTTTCTTTGATCACCCAGTGACTTCTAGTTCTCTGGGGCTCTTGTTTGCAGCATTCAGCCCAGAAGCTGGACATTTATTTGGTCAGTTCTGACACTTATTTTTTGCAACTGGTTCCAGACTGGGGGCCAAATAGTGTGACACAAATAAACAGCCATGGTTAGGCTCATCCTCTTGAAAGCAAGCTCCTCTCATCAAACAGGAAGGTTCTTCTGCCTCAAAGACTGAGAAGCTGTGTTCTTGTCCACAACTCGGTCACTATAAGGACACAAGCCTGTGAATGGAGGGCTTCTCCTGCCATTTCCTGGGGTCAGGCTCTGCTACAATCAGGGTAGGTGACAACAGAAAGTGACAAATGTCATTATTTATCACAAGTTGGTGGTACTTCAAAATCTGGTCTTCTCCCCTAGTCTGCAATTATTTACTTTTGAGAACTGCCAACTCATGACTCCATATGTTTGGCCCAGGTTTTATAGAGAAACTCACAGACGTCAGGTGTTTGTGGGATTAGCAAACTTTTTCTGTCAAGGGATGGACAGTAATATTTTAGGACTTAAGAGTCACATATGAATCTTCCTTGCTTTATAAACAAAATCCTTTAAAAGATCAGCTCAAACTCACAAATGGATCACTCATTTGCCTATTGTTGTTATGGAAAGCATTTGTCAACAAGTATTTAAAGATGTATTCGTGCAAATAAGCTGTGGTATGAATTATGCTCTATATCACTTCAACAAATTAATATTTTTACCAGGATCCATAATGTAAGGAAAAGGTGCTCTCATGTAAGAGCTTTTATCAGGGCTTGTAATAAAGCTGTTTTGAAAATGTTTACCTTAGTGCTTACATTTAAGAATTTATTAAAAAAAAAAAAAAAAAGAATTTATAATAGGATAAAGATGATGTATTTATCATGAATTCCATATTAATGAATGTCACAATTTGCTTAGAGCTAACAACAATGATATTTATAAGGAATTATATTTCAGATCCATTCAAATTCTCACATTTAGATAAAGACAGAATTTGGGAAATGTATATTTATTGCTGATTTTTAAATAAGTAACAAAAGCTATGCATACAGTATGCTAATAGCCACTTAATAACAACTCAACTGCCACACAGGGATTGGCCAACACTGAGAAGCAAAAGTTTATTACCTTTAATATACTATGCTACATTCATATTTTTATCACGTGTTACTCTATTGAGGATCACTACCTTGAGTTAATGCAACATATTAATGAGAAAAGATAAATATTTATCTCAAATGACATAGATTTCCTGATGCTATTATTTATATTTAATAAAGGGAAAGTCATACTTTAATTCCCAACAGTTCTGGAAAATTATCATCTAATTTTATGACGTACAGGTAAAAAAAAGTAGAAATAATAATAAATATTTTTATTCTAATATTTCTTCTGTTAAGAACGCTGGTAAAAATCTACCTAAAGGGCATAATGTAAAATATAACATGAATGACTCATCACAAGCATACATCTCACTCAATAAAGAATCAGAATAGTGCCAGCTCACAGTAGATTCTGGGTATATACCAGTTTCTCTTCTTTTTTAGCCCCACAAGATGGAAGATCTAAGATGTACTGCCAACCTACTCCATCTATTTAATTTTACAGTTTATTTTCTTTTTTTTTTAAAGAATCTTATTTATGACACAGTACATAGAAAAAGAATAAACAAAAGTCAAGCATTAACTAGAAGGAATGAGGGAAAAGAAGAACTGGCAGTATGCTTTCAGCAAAGGGCTACTGCCTTTTATCTTGCTTTTTAAAATGTATTTAGGATAGGATCTATAGGGTCTACAGGGTCTCACTACACAGACAGGACTCATAGTGATTCTTCTGTTTTCAGCCTCCCAAGTGCTGGGATCACAGGCCCATGCCACCATGCCCAATCTCTATCACTGGCTCAGCATGTGCTGGGGGTGGGGCCGGCACGGCACGGCATGCTGGGGATCAAACCCTGGCCGCTACACTCTGCCTAAGCAGGTGCTTTAATCTGCTGAGCTATCTGGTCAGCCCATTATCTTGCTATTGTTGATAGTAGCCAATCTGAACAATACTCCCTGCGAGTCACTGAATATAAGGACTTGACTTATTCAAATTCTACTTCCTATAGTCTCTTGCTTAACTGAACTCCAATACACTCACATTGCATGTTCCAACAGGTTTTCAGGAAAACTCAAGGCTCTGATTTCAACACAAGGTTTTGCTGTTCCAATTCTCTTGCCCTGAACTTGTTTATTTTTATTACAATATACTTGAGCTTTTATCAGCTGCCAGGCTACCAACATTCTTGCTACAAAACAACTCACACACGCAAAGTAAGTGATACTTACCTATGAATGGATGGTGCCTTCAACTTTAAAATGAGGAAAATGGGAAAAAAAAGAGTACATCAAAGACACTGCCTTGGGCCGGGGAGATGGCTCAGTGGAATAAGTGCTTCCCTGGCAAGCGCAAGGGCCTGAGTTCAATCCCCAGTTCCGCCAAAAAAAAAAAGACACTGCCTTATATTAAATAGTTCAACGTTTGAAATATATTTGAAACACAGATAAGAAACTAGTTAAATCAGGTCTTAGCATGAGTTGACATAAACATCGAGTTGAGTTATCCTGCCATCCTTTTTTATAAAATAAACTTTGCTTTGTCAATACCATTATTGGGGGCTGGAGAGATGGCTCAGTGGTCTAAGGCACCTACTTAGAACAAGCTTGGCAAAGCATCAGGGACCGCGGTTCAATCCCCCAGCACCACATGCCAGCCAGCCCCGCCCCCTGGTGGGCTGAGCTGGCCACACACACACCACTCTCACTCTCTCTCTCTCTCTCTCTCTCTCTCTCTCAAATAAATAAAAAAAAAAATTAAATACCATTATTGATTATAAGTTCTCAAAATCTGTATATTTACATGACAATAAAAGGACTAACATCTTTTTCTTCTTCAGTGTTATGATAACTTAATGTCAAAGTTAGGTTATTAAATAAATTCCTTTATATAATGTTCTTTTAAAAGATGTTCTTTAGGGGCTGGGGAGATGGCTCAGTAGAATAAGCACTTGCCTGGCAAGTGCAAGGGCCTGAGTTCAATTCGCAGTTCCGCAAAAAAGAAAAAGATTTTCTTTAAAAGAACTGTTAAGGCTTATATTGTTTGATCAGTTTTCCATTCCTCTATCTGGTAATCTGAGCCCAGTGGACTGCTAACTGGTGGTCAACTTGTTACACCCAGCTGAATGGGATTACAGATGGGCATTATCTCAGCGTGCCCCAGGGACAGGGTTGGCACTGCACTCTAGGGATCGAACCCTGGTCCCTGAGCCTCCTAAGCAGATGTTTTAGTCCGCAAGCCCTAAATTTTTAAATTAAAAAGAACTAGTATTCATATTTTAAAATATGACATTCAACAATAATTTGTTTGCTATTGACTTGATTTTATAGTACACAGTAGGAAGATTCCCAGTGACAGAGGAAAGTAGGAAAAGGAGGATTCCACTCAGGAGTAATCAAAGCTTCATAATTAGCTTACTAGAGCTATTAATTTTTTTTATTGAGAAATAAATATGAATGAGACAGTTTCACAGCTGATTAATAGGACAGTTTTGATAGTCAATACACTGTATAGAGCTATTAATTTGGTATTAGTAATAATCTCACTATCTAGAATGTTTTAAAAGTTTTATGACAATAAATTAGTGAAGTAAATAAGATTACAAGAAAATAGTTAAATATCTTTAGAAATCAATCCTTTAATATATGTGGAAAATATTTTTTAATGTAAACAAATGATTTGTTAATTAGGTGAAATAGCTTTAGAAATCAATCCTTTAATATATGTGGAAAATATTTTTTAATGTAAACAAATGATTTGTTAATTAGGTGAAATAGCTTTAGAAATCAATCCTTTAATATATGTGGAAAATATTTTTTAATGTAAACAAATGATTTGTTAATTACGTGGCATTATTACTTTACATAGCATTTCTAGCCAACATTTTTTATTACACTCTAATCAAAATTAAGTTGCCTGTTTTAAAACAATATCCTTTGACACACATTTTCCACTAATTCATACTAATTAATTTTCTCATAAATTTAACTCTTCCTTACATGTAGATGACAGGAACTTCAAGAAGCTATTAAAAGGAAAAAGGGAGGACACTGATATACCTGTAATCATGGTTATTGTAGCACACTTTGTAATACTTAAATCTTGGAAACAACTCAAATGCCCATCAACCAAAGAATAAATTTTAAAAAGGAAAGAGGAAGAAAAAGGGAATTCTGGAAACAAGTATCAAAAACAAAAAGCACAGTGGGGAGAAAAAAAAAGAGAAGTGCAAAGGGATTGGAAATGACCAAAGTATGTTGTATGCACGTACCAATTTCCCAAATCACACCCACTGCTCTGTGTTACAAACATGCACTAATTGAAAAACTAAATTATAACTATTACTTTTAATCATGTCAATTCTCACAGAGTACCAGAAATGAATATCTACCTCTTCATCAAAGGATAAAATAAAGGCACCATGGCTGTTCAATACAGGAAGGCAAAAAATTATAAGGTCACTTGAAATGCTTTATTTTTAATTACTGTCCTTGAAATAAACGTCTTCTATTCTCTTTGTACCTAGAGGATAA